TTATGAAAATAAGTCCAAAGGAATTAAATTTCAGTTAAGAGTTACACTAATTAGCAGAAAGAAACTTTACAATATTTTTCATGACTATGTTAAGAAGACAATTACATGGAAAAATAGATTAAAAGATTATCATTTTAGCAAGAAAATGGGATCACTAGGATGGATCAGATTAGACACATAACTGGTGAAATATCTGAATGTAAGAGTTCATTGATGAGCATATTAGCAGACTGGAAAGAGCTGAATAAAATAGTATAATATTGAAGATAAGTCAACAAAAAGTATCCAAAGTAAAGCACAGAAGAAAATGATGAGGAAAAAAGCCAAAAACATATCATAAAAGACAAGTGAGTCAAAAGCAAATTGCCTGGGAAAAAATTAGAGTTCTAATTATTAATAGATGTTTGCAGCTATTTCATTTTGAATCTTGCACACCAACAAATAAAAGTCTTTCACTGGATGAAAACTTCACTCCATTCACATCATTAAGGTAAATGATTTTGAAGAAGCAGGTCTCTTGCAGTCGCATTTCTAACTGTCTCTCAACCTGAGGGGCTCATCTTCTGGCAGCACATTCTGCCTTATTCTGTCTTAGTGTGGAAGCCTTGCTGAAATCTGTCCAGCAAGGATGACCTTACTGGAATCTGTAATGCCAGTGCATAGCTTCCAGCATCAAAGCAACGTGAAAGTTACGACTGTAGAGCAAACTGATAGAGGAGAGATGGTACTAAGATTTTGAAAAGTTGTCAAAAATGAAACGGAATGCTGAAAAATCAATATTCTGTACTTTAATGAGATGAAATAGAGTGATACTGGTCATTTTGAAGCAGGCAATCATATTATCTCCTATTCTGGGACTGACAAGTTAAAGAGGAATGATATTGCATTCATTGTCAAAAAGAGCATATCAAGATCTATCCTTAGGCACACCCGTGTTTATTGCAGCTTTGTTCACAATAGCAAGGAGTTGGAAACAACCTAAGTGCCCATCAACAAACGAGTGGATAGAGAAGCTATGGTATATTCACACAATGGAATACTATGCTGTATTGAAAAACAAGGAACTCATGCAATATTATTCAAAATGGGTGACACTGGAGGACATTATGCTGAGTGAAGTATCTCAGTCACAAAAGGACAGATACTGCATGGTGCCACTGTTGTAAAACAGGAATGACGTTGGGGTTGGGGAGAGACTAAGAAAGATGGGTTCAATAATGTATACTGCATTGAAACAGATGTGGGATAAAACTGTTTAATAGATATATGTGATTAGGTATTTTTATCATGACAGGAGTCTAGAACAAAGGCTACATGGTGGAGTGGACCTGGGGGAGGGTTTGTAAAATGAAAGACTTTGTCTTTTACTTTTCCAAGAGGGTAGTGTACTACGGGGGAGGGTTGGGACGGGAGAAAAGTGCAACAATGAATGAATGGAAATCCAAAGTCTCTG